TAGCAATTACTCCACCGGCCTCGCTCCGTTCCCACGGCTCTCGGCCCCGCCCCTCTCGTCACAGTAAGATTTTCTCTGTTCATTAAGGCTGCATTTATGTGATCAAAAATACTGAAAAAAAATTATATTATGAAATATTATTACAATTTAAAATAACAGTTTTATATTTTAATATACTTTAAAATGCAGTTTATTTCTGTGTTGGCAAAGCTGAATTTTCAGCAGCCATTACTCCAGTGTCACATGAGCCTTCAGAAATCACTCTGATATGCTGATTTGGTGCTCAGGAAACATTTATTATTATTATCAAAGTTGAAAACAGTTGTGCTGCTTAGTATTTTTGTGGAAACTGTACTGCATTTTGTACTGCAGGATTGAATCAAAGTTAAAAACAAACAAACAAACAAAAAAATTATTTGAAATAGAAGTATTTTGTAACATTATAAAATCAATTTGATGCATCTTTGCTGAAATACAAGTATAATTTTCTTTCAAAACAACAACAACAAAAAAACGTACTGACTTTTAAAAAAACTAGAGGTCTTCACGGGTCCACTTGGATCCGAATACCCGAGGTCCGACCCGAGACCCAAGCGGGTTCGGGTCCAAAACTTCTACGAGTGCCTCGGACACGGGTCGGGTTCGGTATTAGCGGCCTCGGGTCTCAAATAAAAATACATGTGCTTTTTCCAAATGGACCCGATAAGACCCGAATTCTTTTAAACTATCCCGGATGTGTACTTGCACGTTCATGTTAAGTGAGGAACGCACATAGAAAAGGAGCATACGTTTGTAACCTCGCACACAGAAATCATCTTATAGATATGAGATCCATCAGGAAAATCCACTCTCTTCATTAATGCTGTTCATGCGTGTTCATGCAGGGCTTTTCTTTTTTGTGTGCAGAAGCCTTTCTCCGGAGATTTGGTTCCAGACAACACTAGAGAATCATTAGGCTATCGATTTAATTTTTATCAAACTATCACGTTTCTTTTTTTTTAAATCCACTGGTTAACAATTGAAAGCTGAATTCAGAAATAACTTGTATCCATCAGGCAGACAATAATACAAAGTAAATTAAATAAATGCTAAAGGGGTCATATGACGTTGCTAAAAAAGAACATTCTTTTGTGTATTTGGTGTAATAAAATGTGTTTATGCAGTTTAAGGTAAAAAAAAACACATTATTTTCCACATACTGTACATTATTGTTTCTCCTCTATGCCCCGCCTTCCTGAAACGCATCGAGTTTTACAAAGCTCATCGGTCTGAAAAGCGAGGTGTGCTGTGATTGGCCAGCTATCCAGTGCGTTGTGATTGGCCGAATACCTCAAGCGTGTGACTGAAATGTTACGCCCCTTACCATACTGTGGTGCCATGTGTCCCGGCGCGACGAGACAAAACCAATAAAACCCATTATAAACTAGGCATTTGTTGCATCCAGTGGGGACATAATTACTGATTATAATGACTTATACTGTCTTTTTACACGTTGCGTTGCATCGCGCCCCATAAACATAAAACCATGTCGCATGCGCGCCGAAGGGGAAACAGGAACTGAATTCACCGGAACACCGGCATTGTAGGCCACTCTCCCAGGAAACAGTCCTCGTCCTCCGTAAAATGCGTTGCACACATCTGAATATTTGGGTTGAACTGTTCTGGAACAGTGTTGTAAATACAACTTAACCACTCATTTCTAGTTGTGTCCTCTTTTCACAACGAAACACACAGCGTCTCCACGACATGGTGGCGGCAACAATACTACAGTGAGAATCAAAGTTACGCCTTCTTTCTTTGCGTGAACATTTGTATGGTGTTATGCAAATCTTCCCACATCGTGACGTAGACATGTGGGGGTGTGTTAGAACGTGCCGTTTTAGGAGGGCGTGGCAGAGTCTTAACTTTGATAAAGAATATCTCTTTGGTTTTGAGACTTTAGTCTTTGCAACTTTACAGATCTTCTTTATGCACCAAGAGCTTGTAACACTCCAAAGAGAAAGGAAAAATTGAAATCGCATCATATGACCCCTTTAAAAAACCTTTGACTGAATGGTTCTTTGTGGAACCAAAAATGGTTCTTCTATGGCATCGCTTAAAGAACCTTTTGAAGCACCTTTATTTTTAAGAGTGTAGATAAATTACGAATGTTGGGCTATGAAAATCAAACGGTAACATTTTACTTATTTTAGAAAACCTTCATATTACACACCTATGTACATATATTAAAGGGGTCATATGATGCGATTTCAATTTTTCCAATCCAAAAGAGGACGATATCCGCTTCGTCATGCCTAGAGCTGATCCGTGCTGGTCGCTGAGAAAATAAATCAACTTCGCGCTGTGGAT